AAAAGTCACTCCATTTGATTAATAATACATACTGATGGTCAAGACATTCAGTCAGAAGATTAATAAACTTGTTAAGCTGCTGAAATCCATCAGCAGTTTTCTCTAGGTCTAGACTTACCTTCTGCCCTTCCTGCTTTGCGGAAACTGACATTAAGACACCACTAAATAGTTTCTTTGTAAACTATGTAAGATACATCAGGAAAGTTCATGATTTTCAGCCAGTCTTCCTATAAACAGTAAGTCTGGTTATTGATACAGCAAGTGAATCAACCTGGGAATGTTTGATATGGCAATATAATGTAGCTGGGTATTTTGATTTCTATTTAAGATGACAGAATATAACAAAATACAAAAGCAAATCTCAAAGATGTGGAAAAGAGAACACCTTTTTTTGGTCACTGCTCTATTGTTTCCCCACTAACTATTCCCTTTCGTCTCCCTTCACAACTCCTCCCATTCATGGATGGTTTGATTCATTCACTGCTTGCACATTGCCAAGCCTTCACCACTTCACTGTGGCTTAAAGAAGCAACAAAGTGTCAGAGTGGAACAAAGAATTTTGTTCTCATCTCTGACATTTAATATCTGTTGTAGGAACTCGGCATCAGAAAAGAAAGCAGAGATTGGTTTTTTGGTAACTAAAGTGTGTTGTTGAGGACAAAAGCACTTGAACTCACACATAACCAGAGATACGTGACAAGAAGACCTAGACATGAAGATGCCATGGAGTTGACAACATAGAATTCTGGGCTTGAGAGCCAACACACCCTTCTAAACATTTAAACATTTGATCCTCTCACACCAAGTCCAAAGCCTTAATGATGCCATAACAAGGACTAAATATGTTTGTTCAGCCAGAGACTGAATATAAACCATGTGAAGCCATTAAAATAAATGAAGGATCTATATGTTTTTTTTGTTTGTAGGTATCAGAATCGTGACCCTTTCTTTTAAGTTTTGGATGAGGCAGCATCTGGGGAACGGCCTCAGATGATTCTGTCAAGTGGCACCAAGAAAAAACCTGGCTTTAGGAATATTCTGGAGATAATGATACTTCAATCACGAAATGCCACTCTACCTACTTTGACAAGCGTTCCCTCCTCTCTGTCCTCCAAGTGGCTGTTCCAGGACCAGGCCAACAGAATGGATAAATCAGTCAACTGACAGCAAGCTTGGCCCTGCTGTCTTAGGAAAGATGAGAGCACATGTGAGCCTTGAAAAGCCTCCAACCACATAACCTCCCCAATTCACGCTCTGAAGCACAAGGCAGTCAGAGATGCTAGCCAATTAGAGCCCCGAAACCAAAGGTGATCAAGCCCAGAGGCAGGCAGGAATTGGGGGCACAGCCATGTGCAGTTCCTGCCAACATCACCGTCTCCCCAGACTACTGACTTCACGACTCCCGCCCTGATCGTTTCCCCATCATTTCCTCTCAAAATGTCTTTTTTCCTTTCCAGTCTGTTCATGTTTGGCCCGACACTCAAAAGAAAGACAGGAAGAAGAACATGCTAGCCAATTCTCTCCCACTTCTTTCTAGACCAACTAAAAATCTAGAGAACTGCATGTTCAGTAGTTCACTTAGGGGCATCCTAGGGTTGCGAGATACTGGCATGCAGTTCAGAGCCACTCCTCAGGCACATACTTGGTACAGTAAGAAACTGCAGTTTGCCACACTGATTTTTTAAGGATAGGTGATGAAAACTACATAGGGGGGTCTGAAACAAAGATACTGTAAGAAAAAAAAACAACAAACAGAAAATTGACTGGTTTTCAAAATTATTTCCATATGCCTACTGAATAATGAAGTAACAATTAAACAAGAGCCGGTATAGACAACTTAACAGACTCACCATCAAATCCAAGATTTCAGAAGTGGCAAAAAGTATGTTCCTGCATTAAGAGAAGTTAAAACAGCATGCTTCAATCTACTAAATTCTCTTTACATAAATAAATTATGCCCAGCAACATTACTCTTAAAGCTGACCCACTTGAGTTTTCAGTACTGAAAGTTCTGTTTTATGGAAAGATAAACACACATTTTAACTTTTTCCATTTCCAGAATTGCTCTTCTTTTCAGATAGTAATGACTTCACTACTAAAAATTAACAAGCAAAACCCACTAAAATAAAAAGTGTAAAGACAGAGGAAAGAGAGAATAGACCGTGAAGGAAAGGGAAGTCTGAGAAAAACAGATGATTAGCAGAGATATTGCAGCTCTCGGACTTCGGTTATGCTGCTTCCCTACTTTCATTTTGTTTGTATGTTGCAACCCTTCTATCTCTTTTGTTGAAAAAGTGTGGAGGAGGGGAAGCCCATATTGAAAATGATGAATGCCTTTGTTCACACACCCGAGAACCAAAGATACAACCTTACCTCTTTCTACAGCTATTCTCCCAATTACTTGTGGCTACACTGAAATACCAAGACTAGCAACCTTTGTATTGATAAGCCAAATCCAATACTTCTGTAAAAGTAAGAAATACTGACATACAGGAAAGCAAAGAAGGCTGCAATTAATATACTGAAATAAGGATATTTTCCATCCAATTAATTGCTCCAATGAACACAGCAAAAAAAGGTTAAATAATCTGAAAAGTCTGGTGATTGGGGATTTTTGCTTTTTCTATTAAGCTTTAAGGCTGCTGTCTGCAATAAATTAATTTTTACATTAAATTAATGTCTCATTAAATTGTCTTGTCTTTAACTGTGTAAGCAAAATTATACAGTATTAGATGTCCAGCTTGATATTTTGTATAAATTATAGCCTACACTGTAAAGTTAAGGCTTAGTATATGGTAAGTCTTGTTAAGATAAATTTGACTTTTGATGCCTGCAACCATGGCTCAGGAATGACAAGCTAACACAGTGTAGAAGTTTGCACAGATTTCACTCAACCTTCTCTTTAAATGTAACACAGCTATACTCCAGCAATGCAGCACCCACTCCATATTCTCAAAATATTTTGGTTCTCTAAGTACTTTACTATCTTTGAAATTGTAAGAAAGGTTGTCCCTCCTCCCCCTTTTGTTAGAATACATGACAGCCCTTTCATATACCATAGCAGGTGCTGAAGAAAAATGCTTTTCTATTAAGTCAGGAATGTCACTACTTGGGTCATGAGACAGCAGGCAGACCATCATTTTTGCAAAAGTTATCTCCAGGGAAAACCATCAGCATGTTTTATTTCCACACTATCAACTCACTCTTATCACAGGCCATCATTCTTCGAAAGACAGCCATTTGAATAATACTTCAGACTTGACAACAGCTGACATTTTTATATGAATTCCTGAGAAATTGTATACAAAGAAACTGTTTAGAGGTAAGAACACAGAAGGAATGGAAGTGAACACTGTACCAAAATCAGTGATAGTTACTAAGGCCTAAGTAAAGGCAGGTTCTTTTGCACTGGAAGGAATGGCAATTCACCTCATCACCCACAGGCAAGATTTAACTCCCAGCACATCTATGTGCTGTTAAGATTTTATTCTTCTGTCAGAAAAACAGCAAAAGCGAAAACACATCCTCTCCCTTCTCCCAAACTCGTGCTCGATCACTTCTTTTAAACCAAGTTAATTTGAAACTGTATGGAAAAACAGAACTAAGTAGAACCATATTAAAGATGTTAAAGTTTTTATTTTAGGAACATTGATAAAAATAACATGAACATCTTCAATATTGTACATTTGTTTAATGGATAATATACAGCAAGGGAGGTTATTTAAACTGTACAGAATAAATGGGAACTTGCACTAGACTTGGGGAGAAGAGCTCTTTGCCTGTTACTGGTACACTAGTAAAAATGCTCACTGAAATACCTCTACAAAAAGAAAAACAGAAAATAAATCACATTATGGAAATATCAAAACAACAATAAAATGTTAAGAAAATACTGCTTTCTTACTGTACTGGGTCTGGCTGGGATGGAAGTAACTTTCTTCATAGTAGCCCATATAGTGCTTTGCTTTGGATTTGTGGCTAGAACCATGCTGATAACACACCAGTACTTTGGCTTTTGCTGAGCATTGCTTGCACAGCATCAAAGTTTCATTTTCCCCCACTCTGCCTGCTCCAGCAAGTAGGCCAGGGGTGGCAAGAAGCTGGCAGAGGACGCAGTTAGGACAGTGGGCCAGAACTGACCAAAGGGATATTCAGGCCATACAACATCATGCTCAGCAACAAAAACTGAGGGGGAGGGTGGGCAGAGGTCTACTTCTGGGAGGTGGCGATTGCCTTTGCATGACTTGTTCCTCCTACCCTCCTTTTCTTCACTTAAACTGCCTTTATCTCAACCCAAAAGTTTTCTCGCTTTTGCTGTTCTCATTCTCTCCCTCATCCCACTGCAGGGAGGGAGGGAGCAAGCAGCTGGGTGGGGCTTAGCTGCTGACCAGGGTCAACCCTGATAAACTGCAGAATTTCGGCTTTTTTTTTTCTTCTTTTTTTTAATTATACATTAAGCTTACAGCAGAAAGTGTTGATGCAGACTGATGTTTCTTCTTCAGTTCAGGCACACACAACTATATTTCAAGAATGATTTTCTTCCCATTTTGCTAACTGAAGTAGTTTCTTTTTCACGTCAGTGATATATCCAAAGTACATATTAACATTTCCACAACTAAGTTGAATTATTCAAATATGCTCCCCTCTCTCAGCCCTTAGACGTTATACTCCTGAAGATCTTTTTCCAGAGGGGAAAAAAAAAATCCACCCAGTTCTCACATGATGGTAGTACATAAGAATGTGCCTGGTGTATTTTCTCATCAATACCAACATCAGCTATTTCTGCTGTGTGTGAAGCTGTGCTTCCATGTTGCCTTTTATTTTTATAAAAAAGATACAGTAAATATTTTTTTAGGAATATGGGAACAACTGTTTTAAGTGGCAGTTAAGACTGAATTCAAACACGTGACTGTGACTATTAGCCATCTAGATCATGTAATAAAACACAGTTTTAAGAAGAGGAAAGATAGTATTTCACACTTAAATGTTATCATAAAAAAAAAAATCAGCAAACATTTCAACAATCAAAAGTATTTATAAAAAAATTAGTTCTATATAGGTAGAAGACAGAAACAGGTATTTCATGAAGTCTTTATCCACTCCTAGTTTTACAACTGGGGGGTGGGGGAACACTTTGGGGAAAAAAGAACCCAAAGGGCAAATGAAAACAAAGTATCTTCCTGTGTTCTGGAGTTATAGCTCTAGTGGAAGGTGCTCAGCTTTATTCATTCTCAAATCTGCTGTATGGATTATCACAATCCTGGAGAAGACCTGTAAAACAAAACAGGACTGCGTTTATAATTTTCTTACCAGTATTACATAAAAACCTTGAGTTACTGACCTCACTGTAATAGGTACTCCATTTAACAAAACCAAAAGGCAATTCTTGTAATAGTTGCTCTATTACCCAAACACTCAAGAATAATAAATTGAAAGTGTTAAGCACTCTTATTTCTCAGACTATAATCATGAATAGCTATTTCATCATTTAGCAGGGAAAGAACATTTCTCTGTGAAAAATTCTTATAAAAAACATTTGATTCATGAGGTATACTCTACAAAAATGCATTTTTGAGAGAGTCAAGTCTACAAAAATCTAAGCATAGAGATAGCTCAGAAAGAACAGATTCAGACTCGCCAGTTTATAAATTCAAGTTATTATAAGATCATCATCCTTTTAAGATGTAAAGTGCTGCTACTTTGACTTAGTTCTACTTCGATTATACACAGCCATCTGTCACATTCAGCCACTTACAGCATTTCTGCAACAGGACAATAATCTCTAAGAACAAATGAAGATCACTTCTACATGCACTAAAACCTCCAGGGACCAGACCAAGAGCGTCACTGAATCCAGGTTCCAGTACGTTTCCATCATGAAGATTCTTAATGACTTTACCAGAATACTGTCACAGAAGGCATTGCAAGGCCATCCAATTATGCTGAGTGTCTGGATATGCATTACCATCTTCTGTTAAGGGTTAGTTCAGCAACTGCTGTTCCACACAGCAATTATTTCAAAGAGACTTTAAACCACACACCAGATTTGGGCTAGGCAGAAGTGCATACTGAAAATAAAGGAGTCTCATAAGAGTCCAAAGGTTGACCTTTTGTTGTGGAAGAACAGAAACACTACTGCTATCTGTTTTACCCAAGATTTTTATACTGATGTTTCGCAAGTCTGGACTTTTCTCTAGCTCCTTTGTTTAAGGCATGGAAACAGAACACAGTTAAGCCAAACACCACCAATTCGTTAATGTTCAGATACCCGATAGTGGAAGAGAAAGATTATGCTAGTCACTGCCAAATCTTGTAAGAACTCCCCTCAGACCTTTTCATACCATACCTCTTTTCCACACGCAACTGCACAGATACTGAATGTTCACTGTTCTATCTGAAAGCCAAAAACTAATAGCACTGAAGGAAGACTATACTTTTGTCTATCTTGTTGCAGTCATTGTACTTCTTTTGAACTGCCAGGTTATTTTAAGATGACAATCAAGAAGCACAACTGCTTAGTGCTGATTATTGTATCAGTAACTGCAACTACCTACCTGATAGGGAACAGCAAATATTAAGGAATAAGTATGAAAAATTCTGTAACTACTCAAATTTACAAGATTACAAGCAGTCAGTTTGTGAAGTTAAAAATCAAAACCAGCCCTCATATGTAATGACCCTTACTCACCAAAGAAGGTGTAAGTCAGTCACAGTTATAAAGCTTCAGCCAGGTAACATAAAATATGGTCTATTTACCTGGTATAGCACCTTGTGTCTTACCTTTCTGTAATTGCTTTAAAAAATAATCTTTTAAGTATTTGTGCAAGAAGAATATGATTACATGACAGCATTGTCAAGAGTGATCTACAATATTTTGAGATCTTGAAATGTTTATAAACTTTCAGAAAGCAGTTATTTAAATTTTAATCTTACCTTTCATGCATTTAAACAAAGAGTTGTAGGGTCCATTAAGTCTACTCTAGCTTACAAGTAAGCTAACACACAATAAAAAAAATCTCTTATCCTTGCCCTACCATTTAACCTTGAGTGCCTTCAGGTAACATTCCTGCATTAATATAACCCCAACCCAAATACAGAGAAGAAACATTTACTTTATTTCCAGACCACCACCCCCTCCTTCCTCCAGACATGTTAATACTTTGGCAGCTAGGATCTACGGATCCTAATATATTTAGTTACCTGAAAGACAACCAAGTAGTCCAATTATTAAAAATTTCGGCAGTACTTCTGTATTTCACCCCTTCCAAATCCAAAACACATCTCTACGCAACATTTACAGAAAATTAGCAACAGTACTAGAAATTAACATAATTTTATTACAATTGGCATTGCATAAACTCCCTGCACTCATTAAGTTCCACTTGGAAATCAAGGCACCAAACTTCAAAAATTTTCCACAAAGTGGCAAGAGGTCATACTAGATTCCCCAATAAAATTAACTGAGGTTGCATACTTCTCTCTAGGTAGTCTGGCAAGTGCTTATTATGTCTTTCTTATATTTCATTCAAGATACATACTTGACCCTTCAGAGGTCTGAAAGTAGCACAGTAAAACACTAGACACTGTTCTCTTGCAGCTTGAACAGCTGAAATCCAATAGAAACAGTGTTCTACATCCAGAAGTGCCAAATTCAAATTAATCTGAGCATGGTCTAAGACTCCTGATAAAACTTTTCCTATACCTTTCTGAGGAACAAATATACTTTTATCTGCCCATGCCCCAAAATGCTCAACTAAAAGCCATTTCAGATAACTAGTCCTCATATTTGAAGTGAATGTGTCATTTTTACTCATCACTGCAAATGCCATTCCCAGTAGTACTTGCTTTAATTTTACTGAATTATGTTTACGTATGAACAGATATAACCACCACTAATCAGGCATTCGTATGTTTAAGTTCTCTGATCTATCTTATTTGTACAACACTGGAACTAAACAGGCTTTAAGAACTATGGGTCAACCCAGTGTGAGTATTATTGGTCATGACTTCAGAAATTCATCTCCCAGGCAAGAAGGTACTCCAAGAGAAATGGCAAGCCCTCCTTCCAAATGAGGATAACCACAGAGGTTACAACATCTGATAGACCTTGCTCTCAGTCTCGCTCTCAAATCTGCATTCAGTGTTTAAATTTCTTTTATCCTCAGCATTCTAAGCATGTCATAAGATTACATTAAGTGAGAGGAGGGAGATGGCAGCTCATCACTTGCACCAGTTCTTACTGAAGCAGTTGTATCAGGCTCAAGTAAGTGGACAAAACCAATCTAGAGACACATACAAAAAAAAAGAGCATGACAAAAAACTCCTGTCAGCTGCCACAGCTGCTCTTAGCCATGACACTCAGAGGAATTGCAAGCTTATGCGAATTGAATAGCATGTCTGGTTCAACTAAAGCTCATGTGCTGCCTTGAACCAGACATGAGTTGTCTCTCTCAACCATTTCCCATTTGACATGAGTGACTACCCAATTTTAATTTACACTTACAGGTTCAGAGAAGCTAGATGTTCGTAGCTTCAGGAGACTTGTTTGCAATTAAGTCCATTACATGTTATTGCTGAGCTTGAATACTGAACACAGGACACTTACAAGAACTTCTAACATCTTGCTTCTATTTACCTTCATTTTGAGGTTAATATTTGACCTGCTTAGCAGTATTCAAGAAACACTCAAAAATTTGAAAGGTATAGTAGTCAAGTATCCTTCATTAGATTGTACGAAATGAGGCCTCCTAATACATAGGAAATAACAAAGCAATTGTAAGAAATTAATACCTCTTTCCAGCATGTTCATTTATGTTACATACTATGCTAATTATACAGCTTCTCAGTCATTGAGATCTGACTCTCATCACATCAGCACTGCCCAAAAATAGAATTAGCAAGGGAAATACTTACAAGAGACTGTATACGCTGAAAAAAGAAAAAACCACCAACTACTTTGCTGCATGTCTTCACCCCTTATTACACTTTTCCTCTTTATTTTTAACCCCCAGATTAACAACTCTATTCTTAACAGTGTATAGCAATACAAGGTTTCCCTGCTTTGCATTCAGAACACTAAAGAATGTCGAGACAAAGTACCTATCTAGAACAGAAGGAACATTTACTGGGATAAACTACTGAATATAAAAATCAACATCTCACATAAAATAAAGGAGATAGGAATACATATCATTAAATTAGCTGATCAAAACCTTTGCAGAACTGAAGCAAGTGGTGTGGAAGCCCAAAATCATGAAAGGCAATAATTTTGTAAAAATGAAGAGAAAGAATCCTTCCACTAATACCAGGCAAAATCCTGAAATAAAGCAGCTTCTCACTAACGCTATACTGAACACACAATAGCAGCAAATGCAGCAGCAATTAAATTGTAGTTCCTTTGTATACTACACAAGCTGCAAAGTACTCTGAATTCTACTTTAAAATTTTCTAGCAGTCAACATATAATTTGTGTAATCACATTGCATTCATACGTGAGCAAATGAAAAATACTATCAAACTGTGCAACAAAAACACTTCAAAGCATGTATTCCTGGTTGCTAAAGCTCTCTATTGCTTCCAATGCTCCCAAAGGACCATGGCTAGAGTGACACCTGCAATGCATTATAAATGTGTAATTACCATTTAAATGGGATAAGGAAAGCTAGTGGATGAAATGGGAAGAGGCATTCCCTTAAAGCCAACCAAATACTGAAATTTCAAGCATGATCATTTTAATCTACAGAGTCAGATTAACAAAGTCATTGTCATTCTGCCACTCATCCATGCATACTTAACTGAGAATCCTCTCTGCAGTGCGTAAAATAATCTAGTGTCTCCATAATTATTTGCAGCAATTTTTATTAGATTATGTTTAATATGCTAGCATATGTATTTACTAGACAGTGAAAAATAAAGACAGAAGACCCAAGGTTATAGCAAGACAATTATTTGTCTACATGTTGTCAGAATATAAACTATATACATCAGCAATAATATTTAGGGATTTCAGAATTTATACATATTTTGTCTTTCATTTTTCTTCTATTACATACATCCTTTCAGGATGTGCCAACTATTCAGTTAAGAGATTTTTCTTTAGGAAAAAAACGAATTATGAGAATCCAGGCCTCAGATCAATATATCCGATAATATTAATTCATCTTTGTATATGCAATAAAGCAAGCCTGTCAATAAATAAACGTTACATAGAAGCTTGCTACTGAAATTTAAGTTTTATAGTTGAATTACAATCTTTTGCAGGTAAACTGCACTGCAAAAAAATGCATGAGGAAATGAATATGCCTGACTCCTTATAAGAGGGTATGCCTTCCATTAACACAATGAATGTATGAACTTGTTTCTAATTAAGTCATTCATAGACTAACATGCTTCAAGTGGAGGCAAAATGGCACTTGCCCTCATACAACTGTGTGCATAGTATAGCTATAAGCAAGATTTGTTTAATTTGGTATGCTTTCCAGAGTTACAGAATTATATAGTTATATTCCTCAGGAAACTCAACAAGATCCAACAAAGCATCCTGCAAAGGTCTGAAAGTTAAGCACTGAAGAGAGAGAATTGTCTTCACCAAAATATAGGACCATCTAGGAGACAAGTGAACTAGTTTCACAAGCAAAATATGACTGAACACAGCCTTTTGAAACATCACTTAACCCTAATGCAGTGCTTTGATCCATTAACTGCTATACTGAATTCAGGACCTTGTTCACTCCTTTTACTTGCACTGCTGAGGAGATGCAAAGCTATATATGATCTGTAGAGTGCTGCATGTTATTTTGAATGCACAGCCATTGTCTTAAGTTCTTCACCACATCTATCCATCCCTATGATTCAAACTTGTGAGACTGACTCTAAGGTCTCTTCTAAGGAGAAACAAACACAAAAAGCGTGTGTTGTTTTATGTTGTTGTTTGGATTTTGTTTGTTGGTTTTTTTTTTTAAATCTGAACTATTGTTGTCAACCACTCAAACAAACCTCTTGAAACTTGGGATGCAGAGTCAGTTATCCTATAAAATACCACAGGACTGAAGCTCATGGCTGATTGTTAAACAAAAATTACTTCTGATTTCTACAACATTCTTCCTCCTGCAGCTCAAGCTTCACAGTGAATTTTTGCTCCATTCCAGCAAAGAAGCATACTTTTGCAAATGTTTTCCAAGCACAGAATTCCCTATAGAGATTGTCTGTATCACTCCTGCATCAGCCAAAGGGCAGGCTACAGATTCATGAAAGCATTCCCAGACTCTGCCAATCAGTTTAACAAGAGGATGAAAATTAACAGTTTTGAGTGACTGTTCAGACCCCTAGAATCAACCTCCTCTGACATTAGTGCAATTTGCATAATAAAAAGTGCAGTATAGTTTTAGCATATCTGTCTCTGAATACACAGTACTATTAACCCTATGAACAAATCAAATGTAAAGTGCAAGCACTGACAAGCCTAGATAACAAAAGCTTCCTATACAACACAGCAGGTCCTACAGTCTTGCAGTATTTTCTTACTGGACCACAGCTCCACTTAAAAACAAAGGAAAAAACCAACAATTTTAATCCCTGCATTAGGCTGCATCCTCCATCCTTCTTTTTTAAGCTTCATTTTAAAAGTTTGCTATCTGCTAGTCAGTCTATCCTCTTCAATAACCATGAGTCTACTAGCCAATTTCAACTAGATTCGTTTAGCACATTCAAGAACAAACAGAAAAACTCCAAAATCAGTACTCTTACTTAGGAAGAGACAAAAAGAATGGCTTATTTTAATAAATGTATTTAAATGCCCACCCCAAGCAAACACCCCAGCCAGTACATTTTCTCTTGTCAAGTGGAAAGTCAGTGCTGGAAGATAACAGGAGCATACTAGTGATGAGATCAGGTGTTCAGGTGACAGAAGACATGCATCAGTAGGAAACTGGGCTTGATTACTTCTGCTGCTCATAAAGCAGCTTGTTTCTGCTGTGAATTTTAATAATAATTAGGAAAAAGGAATCAATTTAGATACTGAGTATCAAAACAAGATTACCACATACCATACTTCTTACGTATTTCATCATGCTTCAGTTTTCTTTCATGTTTCCTGCAACAAATAAAGGCATGAGAAGAACATTCAGACTGTTTTGAGCCATAAGCAGAATATGATAGTTACATCTGAAAGAGACATTTTTTAAAGTAGTATGCAATTACAAATATCAAAAAACCCCACATTTATCAGTTACAGATCTTATCTTTCGATATACACTTTACGCATCTATAAGATTTCCTATAACTTCTCACTAATCAATAATGTCAAAGTAAGATATATTTGCAAGCATAAAGAAAATACTGTTTTTTCTATATAGAAGTAATGCATCCACATATATGTACACACACTAAGGTATTTGCCTATACATAAGAAGCAAGGTGCAATATTGGAAGATTCCCTAATGCTTTCCAGCAGGGAGCATAATAATAAAATTTAGCTGTGAATACAGCATGCTTCAGAATCCTAATTCAATATAATAATTATAAAAATATAAAAGGTGTATTACTGTTTAAACAGTACAGCAAGTGAAAACTGCTAGTTTCTAAAATCCAGCATGGCATCCATGCAGAGCATAAACAAAAATATTGTGTTATATAAAAATTGGATGCCTCTAGTTAATATATATTGTCTAATCATACAACAGTTTTCAAGACTGTATCTAATATTGCCAAACTTTAATTACTGACATAAACCAACTGTCTGATGAGTCAATTTCTTCTTCCCCTTCCTCCTCTCCCCTTTGCAAAGGTGAAGGGGGAAAAAAAAAAAAGAAGTTTAAATGGAAATTGTTCCATCATTCCTCAGATAATTTTCCTGTATTTCAAAGGCAGCATCTATTTTGCTTAGTTTAAGAACAAACAAAAAAGCTCCTACACAACTGTTTCACTAGGATGATCCAGGATCTATGTATTTTGATGAAAGGACATAGAATTTGGCAAAACAATGTTCCTCTAACAAAAAAATACAGTTTGTTGCCCCTATCAAAATTTAACCCAGTTAGACAAGTTGTGACTTTCGCCTGATTCTAATTTGCACATATTCAGCAGAAAGCTGTTAAGCACTGACAGCTTAATTCACCAAAGATCCCATCTACCCTATATGCATATTCCACCTCCAAATAATTCCTACTGCTAATCAGATCCTGTGTGTCCTCAGAAGCAATTATCCTGCTTCCCACTGAGCTGAAGGGCTCAACCAGCCTTTCCCTGCAACTGCACTTCTGGAAAAGCATGCAGATAAAGCATGATGAGAAAACCAAACAAGACAGTCTGACTCAAAACCTTCCACTACTATTTCCCCGAGATACCTATCTCCCCTTCCACTATTAAGCCCCCGCAGCATAGGGCCAAAGCAGCCTGGCCGAACTGCAGGAGGAGAAGGAACAGGGTAATCAGGGTGATGAAATGAAATTCATGTAGAGGAAGAAAGTCAGGACTGAGAGGTTGAAGAGAATAGGAAGAAGATAAGTCAAGTTTACTTGCTGAGGGTAAACTGTTCAGAGGATTCCTGCTTTCTGTGTTGCGTAAGAGGAAGACATGATACAAGGCAAGGGATCTCAGGAAGAGAATAGAGATTCTGCTTAAAGCAGCCTTCTGTATAAAGCCAGACATTATTTCTGTATAGTTTCCATGTGATATCACCTGACCTCAAAACAGGTTTTTTTTTACTGGTGGTACTAATGGCATGTTCTTCACTGTTTTGCATACCCTGTCTGAAATAATGGAGTCTCACTGCTCCAGTTTCAACTGAAATCTCAGTACTTCAGCAGTCAGTCTGAATCTGCCCTGAACACAGAAAGCACTAAGTATTTGCATAAGGAGGGTAAGGCAGGGGGGGGGCAAAAAAAAAAAAAAAAAAAAAAAAAAAAAAAAATCAGGCTGTGTAGGCTTTAAACCTCAGAAACACTTTAGGATATGTCCCTAGGCTATTCAAAACAAACCACCAAATATCTAAAATCTTTACACTGTTTAAGTTCAAAGGGTAAAACCATTAATATTCGTGAAACATTCAAACTTTGACAGGCAGCCATGACTATACCATATCACCCATGACTAAATACTCATACAGTAAATAAGGCTTACGTATACATCAACTGAGAAGAATCAGAGGCAAATCTGAATAGGCAGTCACTGAATCAGCCACCCAGAGGTGGCTTACTGCACCGTTCACATCTTAACATTATGATCAACTGAAGTCACTTTACAGTCTGAGTTGGTTCTGTTTCTTAATACTACTGCTAATACCCCATTTTCTGTATGCTAAATTCTTGGCTCTTCATGCAAGTTGTCCCCACTGCTGTAAGCTGAGAAACTATTTTTCCTAATACTAACAATTCACATCATAATTTTCCATACTTGGTTCTTCACAAATGAACTGCAATCCTTTCTTTCCCTGCCCCCCCTCCTTGTTCTCCCTTACCAGTACACTACCAAATTATACTTGGCAGTTTCTCTCATACAGTATCTCATTGCTTTTCATTGGTTTATAAACTTCAATATGTAAATCAAGGTTTATAGATTAATACATTTAACATAAATGTACCATGTATTTGCAGCTGTAAATAATTAAATGAGTGTACAGAAAAAGACTAACTACTTGATGCTATGTTTAAAAATTGTTTTTCATGTTAGAGATGACATGAAGTCAAATAAAGGACTAAAAGCTACACAATACCTGTTTTTCTTCAGTATTAGTCAAAAACCGAACTACAGGTTTTCTTCCCCTCCTGCCCCTCACTGTAATTGCAAACTCTACATATCACAAGTAATTTTCAACTTTCTCAGTGAAACAACAGCTAGTTTTGTCCTCAAGAAGTCAAGCAGAGGGCCAATGTCATTGCCCTTACTCTTCATGCTAACAGCCATCTAGGTATTCCAAAAACACACTTCCTAAGTATCTGTAATAAACTGAACTTTAACACAAACAAATTTTTAAGTTTAAAAGAGACTTTTACTGTGTACTTGAAAAGCCAGAAAATAGTAGGTGCTGCAGTTATCTTGAAGCTTGCAGGAAAAAAAAAAAAAAAAAAAAAAAAACACACACTATGCAACTTGGGCCTCCTTACTTTGTGTTTACCATTCACTAATGAAATCATGAAATGAAGCTCAGACTAGTCCTGTTCTACATCCACTGCCAACTGATCTGAACAGCTGTATATGAAGTAGCTGCATCCCACAGAAAAAACATAAGATGACAGGAAAAGCAAACAGACCAACACAAGGTCAATGCTGCACCTATTTTCCACCCATACTATTTATCCGAATATCTATCCAGGTGTTTTCAAAACTATGTGAAAACTTCACAGGTTGTAGTAAGGAAAGACCACACAGTACAGTGCAGTGTTTTCCTCTGTAGTCTGCTGGTCAGAAATGGCTTGTTGATACTGTTAATCTGTTCTACAGCCTGCTACTACCAATTCATCCACCTGAGGACTTACAGGAAGCAAGCTGTGGGTAGGGTGAGGTGTTCTGGTTGCTGGAAGCTGCCTACTCCTCGTGTTTTCCCATGACCCCCCAGCCACACACAATGGGTATGCATGTTCAGAACACAGAAATACCCCAGGGCTGCTGCTAAGCTCTCGCCTGCAATTAGAACAGTTTCACAGACACACTCCTGAGACAAGCTAGGAAAGAGGGCTGCTGCTGTAAGGCTGCAACAATCATTCTGGCAGAGCAGTCTGCTCCCAGCAATCCTTGTTCCTAGGCTTAATTCAGGAATGGAGTTGGTCTTAGCTATGCATTGCTAATCTCCTGGTGCAATACCACTTGCTCTGTGTGCACAGCAAACCCTACACTCCAGAATTATCAGACTTCTTACATATTAACTGTACCAAGAATTTAAAGCTGATACACAAATCACAGTGGAAAGGTTATGGTACACAATCATCCCCTATGCACCTGGTCATGAGCCTTTGCTTTATAATAAACATAGTAAGTGTTGATTTAACTGAAGAACATAGCATAATATCAAGGATGTACATTTCACCACAAGTCACATGGTTTTGGCATACAACAAAACGTTGATATTCCTCACAGGTTCCCTTCTCTTTAGAGGGCAACAAAAGCATTACAAGAAAATCATCACCTTCACACTAGCACTCTGCCTACTGTGCAGTGACTAGTTAGACATGGATTAAAAGGTAGAAAATTTCCCTTTTCTCTGATCCATTGCAAGTCTTCAATAGCACTTCTCTGAGAAACTGTGTGGTATGACTATGCATGAGCATACTTCCTAAACTGGCCACCTACTTCTTACCCTTCTGCACACATTCAAGTATGACACTTTCAGCTCACAAATTAAATGTTTATGAAAACATACTTGCATCCATTCTCTTCTTGGATAAAGTTTGACACTATGTTGCAATGGTGAAAGGGGAAGTACTGCTTTCTACTGTCCCCAGATAAATGCTTTCTTTACTTTTTTCCCCATCCCTGGATTCATGCTGTCCTTGCATTCTGTGGATCCCAGCAATCTTATGGATACTTGCTGAGACTGTTCACTGAACTCACCCAACAGAATAAAACAACCCCCAAAACCCCACAGAAATGTGAATAGCTTTCTGCAAAACAAATCTGGCATAGCATAGAGCTAAGGAATGTTGTGCCTTGGGCATGAAAGAAAAGTAAGAATATTCTTTGCATCAGCAGCTCAGTTACATCAGTAGAATGCTTTTACACACAATCTAAAGGATTAAATTAGTGACACCATTACATATAAAAGTATACATTTTCAAAACAGTAATTTTAGCTCAGCTACACTAGGAGACATCTAATTCTCATCTTCTCTCTGCAGAAAGTTACTTTTAAGCTTGTGCTTTCCTAAACATGTACAAATGCAGAATACACATTACTGCAACAGTAAGTCTGTGCTGTTAAAATTAAAGTTTGTGCAGAACAAAGACAATGTGGTAAGTTTAAATTTGGTGAGTTTAAAAGCTACTAAACTGTATTATACACCTAGTGGAAAACTGAAATAGATAAAATGCCAGTATGTATTAGCTCAAAAAAATCAAAAATCACAAAACCAGAACTAATCATTCAAGCTTTGCACCAAATCAAGCTCTGAAGAAAATCTTTGTTAAATGTCCCCATTGTATCCTATCTAATCCTTCTATTGCCAACAAGTTTAGGAATTTTGTACAAGGCTAAAGGACACATCAATTTAACCCATTAAAACAGAATCTATTCTGCTTCCTAACATCACAATGCCTACTTCAGAGCCATAACTATTGTTGGATTCAGGGCAAACAGTTGCTGTATTTGCTCATGTAATCTGGCAGTTCAGAACCAGAAAACAGATTTGCATGGAGTTAAGATGAGCAATTCTCCCAGCTCCGGGCAGTCAGACACACGAGTGTAGGTACATCTGTATGAGAACCTTATTGGCTCCCACTTTTGTGCCCAGCCAGAAACGTAACACGTTTGAGCAAACTAAGCATGTTTTATGTCTTATGCACATTTGTAATAGAGAAACTTAGAGCCTTCACGCAAAAGCTCTGCAAAGGGTCTCATCTGGAAGTATGCCTTGCTCCCCGCAGTCCCTGCTCATATTAACAATCAATCTGAGTTCAAGAGAAAACAGCAGGTATCAGCAAAGCAGGGAAGGTACCCACCTGTTACTTGGCAGACAAGTATTTCTAGAACATAACCAGGAAGTGGCAAACTCAAGATCAATTTCCTTGTCAGTCTATGGGGATTCAAACCCACACCTGACAGCTCCAAGCCTAGCATTAATTTGGTTAGGACTCTCCTCTTGTCTTTACTAAAGCTAATCCACTGTGAATCTACAAAATAAAGACCATGAAAGGAAGTATGATTCAAAACGTATATCAGGCTTGTACTGAGTATCATGGCCCTACCTATAAAAACTGTTTACCTAAAGAATAATCTATAAACCACAAAGACTCACTGGAGCACTAAGCTACAAAAACCTAGATCTGAAGGAATGCTGTTCTCACCAAGAAGCACTGTATCACTGCTGACTCTTGCACTACTTTCTACACTGTGCTACAGATTTAGCATAAAGGATGGAAACGTAGAATTAAGTCTAAGATTTGAGCCAAAGTTTTCCATTTCCTGAGCAAAATTTCTAATAGGTATCTCACTATCAACTTCTCTACTTTTCCCAGCCAGATTTAAAAGAAAAAAAAACAAACAAACAACCAAACAAAAAAACAAAAAAACCCCCACAAACAAAACCAAAAAAACATGATTACCAAATTAATCCAAAAAGTGGTTTTTGCCTCTGAACCCCAGCCTTGCTTAGGCATTAACTCATGCCACAGACAGGCATCAGTCCAGGAGAGACTAGGCAAGACTTCAGACATCCCTCCTGTTTGCTCTTGGCTGGCACAGAGCACTCGTGGTACCTGCCACAGAGAGCATCAACCTGTTTGCTCTCTGTTCACTTACGGAAATACAGGCCCCTAATCAGGTTCACAAATCTCACAATAAGCCCCATTTCGTAAAAACCTGACATCGTCATGCTTAACTCCACAATGCCTCCTTGTTTAGTACACCATTTATTCCTTAGAAGGTCAGAATACTCCTATATCACCAGGAACTGTATAGCTATATATCAAGCTGTCAAGACTTACCTCTGAAGAGACTGTAGTCTTCGTTCCTCTCTCTTTCTAGCTAGCCGTTCTTCTTCTTCATCTGGTCTACTAGAAAAATAAGCAGGGAAGGAAAGCATAAGAGGAGGAAAAAGCAGTTTCACTGCTAGGCAATCACCGTTTAGTCATTTGACTTATTTTCAAAAAGGATTTATAGCCTGACCTGAGATACTTCTTCACAGCCATGTAACGTTTCATTGCTGAATAAGCATAATTGACAAGTTTGTAGAATTACCCTTTCACATTTTATAATGCCCAAATGCTTCACTCACTGTAGTAATGTGCCTTTCAGACTCCACAGGGCAATTTAAAGCCTCTTAGGAACAGGTTGCAGACTGTTCCAGAAGCAGAACGAATACTTGCCATTTTCCCCATGTGCCACACCCCATTTTAGAGTAAGTGTAAAGTTAAGTCCATTGTTGCCCCCTGGAAGGCTGATGGTTCATAAGCCTTTGATGCCAGAACAATTTACCTTTCCAACAACCACCACTATCCAATCCCAGACTTCCCCCAGGAAAGCAGTCTGCACAAACTGTCTTGACAGCTGCCTTCCCTGCTCTGGAATAAGCAAGGATTTACCTGAGTGCATCAGCTGCGCGACTCTGGGAAATGCTGAGCCTACACAGTGCATCCGAGCTGTGCATGTGCAGATATGCTCTACTGAATGCAGGCACTTAAGCTTTGTGACCTGCCTTGGAGAAAGCTCAGCTTCACTTAACCATTAGATAGACCATGTAAGAACTGTAGAACTCTGAAGCAAATGCCTACCAATATTTATTTGTCTGGGTTTTTTTCTGACAGAATTAATGACAATTATTCAGGATTAGTAAACAGGCACCTGCCATGCTTTCCCAGGTGCTAATCATTTTTCAAAACTGAATGCACTATCTGAAGATGTTTGATACGAATTATTTACAATACACCTGCTAATAGAGACATGAACAGTTGTAGTAGCACGCATCTGCAGCAACCAACGTACAAGTTAAGCAAGAGTGACATCCAGTGGTTAATTATAGCATGTCAAATGTTTTAACATACAAAAATCAGACACCAGAACTGGAAATCTGAACTCAATTTTTCCATCTGCTTAATCAGTCCATACATCTCTTGAACATCTTAGTAATTTAAATACAACCCAGTAATTTAGTATCCATGTAATGTTTTCACATACAAATTTTCTAGTTCCTCCTTTTTTGTTTCCACATAACGAATTAGAAAAATCTTGAGGGAGTTTAGCAGCACAAAACAGATGCAACAGGTCACCTTTACTGGAAAACAAGGTTAGATCCTTTTGTAAAACTAATCAATTCCCCACATTAGCATGCCCAGGAAGACCAGAAGCTCCCATTCTTGGGTACCCTTCTGTAAAACTACTTTACTGGAGACTCCAGCATCTTATGCAATAGTCTCACTTCACATTGGTGTCGCAAAATATAAAACCATCAAACAAATAAAATGCTGGTATAGAATTCAGAAAATATATTTCTTCCCTATAATTTAAAAAAAGCATTAAATATCTTCTGATTTCCAGACACTTTGAAGGAATTGATTTTTTCTTCAAAATTCAGGAAGTCTGAAATTATTCAAATAAAAGAAGTGGTTGTTAAACTGACAAAGTTCAAGAGAGTCTATTTAATATAGTTTCATGAATAGTTGTATCTCAAGTACATGGAACCAGACTCTTAAAGTCCAAACACAGGATAAAAACAATGAACTGAAACAATGCACCAATGGTGCTAGGATTCCTGGGGGAGGCAGCCAGCTATGTTACTGATGTGGGGATTAATGCACCTAAGTATTCTCTGTGTTCAAGGAAAAGATAAGTGCTGGCTTCTTAAACATTGAAACCCCACAGCTTAAAAACTCCTGACAATACATTTAAGTAGTCAGTAAAACAGATCTAATACTACATTTCTATAAATTTCCTTCTTCCAATCCATTAAAAAAAGTTTTTGTGGAAAAGGAATCCCCAAAACTGAGGAAGCAGAGAGCAAAAGAATTCCTGCTGAGAATCACTGGGTTTAAAGCCAGTAATATATCAGGCTTCACTGTAATAATACATACTGAATCTTCCTGAAATAATCTGGACCCCACTCTGACAAGACCTTTAAATCCTCTAAGTGTCAGAAGATTAAGCTTGACACTTTTGGAGTCCTGGCATAAGATGACTCTCAACTAACCCTCTATTTTTAGAATTAGATGTTACAGTACTGATTGACGACTTAGCTACTAAAACTGAAGTCTGGCACAAATCTTTCTCTTCACAGGAATCAAGCTTTATTTGTTGGCATGTCAGCCACAGGGGCCTACATGGTTCTTCTGCAGAGGACACTGGCAGATCTTACATAAAATCTAAAACAGTTCTATACATCTTCAGGGCTTATCAGCACAGGGCTAAAGAGTTATCAATTTTTGCACTAGGACAGATTTCGTAGACCAATCTACCAGCAGAACAGGTGCATGCATCTTCCTCAGGGAAAAGAGAAGGGAATGACAATTATTTTCTCCCTTCTTTAAAGGCATAGATGTACCATATTTCTCTGGCTTGAAGGTCAGCACTAAACACCGTACAGCTGCGTAAATTCTTTAAAAAAACCAACCCTCAAACAAGAGCAATGAATTACAGGTACTTGAAATAGTATAGAAGTTATTTCAAATCAAGAAATAAGGTCCACATTTTGTTCATGTGAGAAGTACTGAAGGAAAAAAGGAACAGATCTAAAACTACACTGCCCAGAAACCTGAGCTCTAAAACTTCAGTGATAGGAGGAAGCATATTGTGCTGTCCCAATAAACAAGGCATTCCAGGTGTTTCATTAGGGAATAAGCATTTATCACTTCACACGGCAGCACTATTTTAGCTACCCATCAACTGTTTCCCTCTTGGTATCTTCGAGCAAAAAAGTATCATCTTACACTCAGAATATTTTGTTGAATTGGCTTGAAGACAGCTAATCACTTAGATACTGACTGTCTGCTGACACATTCTAAAGCAAATTCTGAAGCATGGATACCAAGCGCTGTAGGACATTGTTGCTCAGTTACTTGTTACCCACCTGGTCCCTTTTTGCTGTACCATGAGCTTGCCTTGATAGAAATTATTCTGTCATCACAAGAAGCAAGTATTTATTTGGCATTGAAATATTTCATGTCCAGCCTTAATAAGGAAGTATAAAATGTAGAAATGTAAAGTAATAGCTTACTTAACATATCTGTGATCCTACCACTAATAACATCACTTCAATGTCATTTCAGCATCATTTCTAGAGCCATACTGCCTGACACTAAACACCTCTTTCTGTTGTCTCTCAAACAAATATAGCAAAGTGACCAAAATTGCTTCCAAATGAAAAGATCCTTAGTATATTGGAGAGTAAAAATTGTAGGTAGGTATGGAAGACCAGCACCCGAAGTTAGTAAAGAAAACAAATATATGTATTTACCTCCTGGAACGCCTTCTGCAGTAACAGCAGTAACAGCAACAGACTGCTATGGACACCAGAATGAGTCCAGCTACTACAGCTATGGCAATAATTAAAGCCTCAAAGTTTACTGAAAAATATGAATATATTAAACTTGTTAGACTCCAGCATTAACATTTGTCTTTCTGATAATTCTTCCCCTCCTTCCCAAGTATTTTTTCATCTCTGTATGCAAAAAAAAAACCAAAAAAACAAAAAAACAAACACACAATTCTGTGCAACTACCCCAGTTAAAACTCAGCATATTGCATTAGAATTTTGCTACTATGCATAATCTACACTGAACAGACATTAAGTAAAATTGCTCTTTACACATACCAAACTCTTACAAGTCATCCTGTAATATTTTATATGATATATCTACCGGCGTGATTCCACAGTTCTGTCTTCCCAATCATGACCTTAGCCAATGTACAGCGTGAACCAAAAAAAGTGATGCAGCAGCAGTGTACACACATTACATGCAGCAGCTGGAGAACAAGCAAAATGAAGTAAGATGACAGTGTCAGAGGATTTGAAGGAGCCAATATAAAACTCTCCATAAAACTTCCTGAGTCATCTTCTATGTCCAAAGAGCGATTAACAAATGGGGGGGAGTGTGTGTGTGTGTGTATTATTTTAACAGCATACACTGTAACAACTGTAGCTAGTCTAAACCAGGATAGGACTGCATTCATAAAAAAGAATCAGAAATCTGATGTCCTAGAAAAGAGTGAGGCCCAGGAAGAAAGCAAACAGGGATGATATAAGCAAAGCTACAGACATAACTTTGATGAGTGACTTAAAGGACCTAACAAAGGACAAAATTAAATCATTCAGGGAAGTTGTAACACAGAAAAACTAAACACCTCTTCCCACCCCACACTATTTTAAAGCATGATGGGGGGAAGGAGCAGGGAAGCTGTCTCTTCTCCCTTCTCCCACATAAATCCCTCTGAACTGTCAGATTCAGCAGCTTCATGCTGCTGTAGTAATACAGAGTAGCTGCACATGCACTTTTTACTGCTTCAGGGTACTAGTGATATGACAGTCAAATTTAGCAAGCAAATTTCAGAGGGTCTGTCCTCTCTGATTACATGCACAAGCCAAAGAGTCTGTTACTTCTCTACATATCTCACCAACTCATGCCTAGTCAAGGCATACCCTTCACAGATCTTGCCAAAGATTAGACCACAGCAAATATTTTTGCTTCTGTGTTATAATTCACTGGGTACAGTTTATAATACAGATTAATACACAGTTTCTAGTTACAATACACAAGTAAACTCTGAACTTGTGAATTCTGAAAGTAACACGTTTCACCACACCACATTTCTCATTGTTACTTTCCTACAAGCTACAAGCAATTAAATATACTTCATTCAGTGAAGTAAAAACAAAAATGGTTTTAATCTCCATTTAATTTTTAAAAGTATACTATTTAATTGCAGAAAAAAATATTTTGAACCCATTAACAAAGTGCAGAAAAAGACTGTCAGTTTTCAGTCTGCATTCCTGTCTCCACTATCTATTTCATTTGCTTATTATTCATGAAAAACAATACAATTAAGCTACTTTGTATTATGTTGCTTCTATACCATTCTTTTCTTCACTGCTGGTTAATAATTTGTCAACATGTCTTTTTCCATATAAAATTGTAACTGGAAGCCAGTCATTTGTTTTTGACTTTGAGAGCTGCAATATTCACCTTCATTTTCACAAGACTGAGCCAACACTCTTCATTTTATTTGCAAAAAGAAAAAACACCACCACCATGCTCACAGGGTAATTAATTTTCCTGTTGTGTCTGAAGGGGACAGTCTCAATAAGACTATATAACCCCATGGCATGCTGCTGTGTGTAATTTGTAAAAAGTCTGTTAAGGAAATACATGTCTGGGTTTGGGGGTTTTTGTTGTTCTGGGGTTGGGTTTTTTCTTCTTTTCCCATTTTGACTTTTTTGCTGAGAATGTGCTCCATTACAAAGTTTTCATTCTGTGTTGAAGCTACATTCAATCTAGAAACACAAATAGCACCCGAGTTAGAAGCCATTTCTATAGCAGGAGCAAACTGTCAAGAACACCCTTAGTATCAGTAGATACCAGTAATCACTGCTTTGCAAAAGGACATGCTTTTCTGTACTGGGTGTGGCCAAGAGTTAACTTTTAGCAGCTGGTATGGTGCCATGTTTCAGCTTTCTGGCTAAAACAGCACTGCTAACACACCAACATTTTGGCTGTTGCTGAACAGGCTTGAAGAACATCAAGATTTTGCCTTTTTCCCACCTCCACTCTGTTCCCCCCAGTGAGTAGGGGTGGAGATAGGCAAGAGATTGGAGAGGTTAGGAGGGGACACTGCCAGAACAGCTTACCCAAACTGGCCAAAGGGTGATCCACACCATGTAATGCTGTGATCAGCAATAAAACCTGGGGTAAAGGAAAAAGAAATGGAGGGGGTATCCGGCTTCCAGGGTGACTATTGTTTGGGGACTGGCTGGGCATCAGTCTGCCTGTGGGAAGTAGTAAGCAAGTTTCCTTTGCTTTTTTTTTTCCTCTCCCCCATTTTCCTCCACCTATTAAACTGTCTTTATCTCAATCCATGAGTTTTCTTGCTTTTGTTCTTTCTATTTTCTTCCCCCATCCCACTGGGGCCAGGGGAGGGAAGGAGGGAGCAGCTGTGTAGGTACTTAGCTATTGGCAAGAGTCAACCCACCACACTGCCAGAAAAAAGTTTGCTAAACATTTCATAGTAACAGCATTTACTAGAATATTGAAAGCTCAATTTCCTTAAAAGTGTGCCTTATCAGTGAAATGATAGCTTTCGTAGCTCTAAAAATTCCAGAAGTCTAAGCATAAATGCTTTCTCTCACAAAACAAACTACAGAGCCCTTCTGCTAAGAACAAAGAACATAAAGTTCTCCTGTACTGTCCAAATCTACTCCCTGTTTGCAGGGATTCTATAAAGTGGTAGCATTCAGAAACCTGCACACTCCATTTTAATAGCGATCTTCTGCCTCTGCTACTCTAATTTACACTACTGCATAATGTCACTGCTCTAAGTGTGGTAACTTTCTTCTAATTCACAGTTAACATAGTCCCTGATAGTTCACTCCCACTTGTTTTTGCCCTTTGGCTTCCTGGTGCTCATGAGCAAATACACAGAAAGCAGCAAGCCTTTGCTTTGCTGGACTGAAGCTGTAGTCTTAGTTCATAAGGCAAGCTTCCCAATGTCCTATTTGTTCTCTGTTACAGTCTAGTCTGAATTTAGATCTGTATACACAGTATTGCAAAAATAGCTCCAAAGATTTCACCCCAATGGCACCACATGCACTGTACTGTATTTCGTAACACAACATGCAAAGCAAAAGGAAATTAAGAACAATTAAAATACGCAGCACTACAACCTACAGTGGCACTCTGCAGCTTCCTTTTTAACCTTAACTGCATTGCCTTCAGCACCCACAGATCACATAGGTTTTTTGGTTGTTTAAGCAAAAACAGTTTTCAGGAATTTTGGGGTGGCTCCATGTCGTGGTTTAACCCCAGCCAGCAACTAAGCACCATGCAGCCGCTCACTCACTCCCTCCCACCCAGTTGGATGGGGGAGAAAATTGGGAAAAGAAGCACAACCCGTGGGTTGAGATAAGAACGGTTTAATAGAACAGAAAAGAAGAAACTAATAATGATAATACCAATAAAATGAAAACAGCAATAATGAAAGCATTGGAATGTACAAACAATGCACAGGGCAATTGCTCACCACCCACCGATCGACACCCAGCTAGTCTCCAAGCTGCGATTCCCTGCCCCCACTTCCCAGTTCCTATACTAGATGGGATGTCCCATGGCATGGAATACCCTGTTGGCCAGTTTGGGTCAGGTGCCATGGCTGTGTCCTGTGCCAACTTCTTGTGCCCCTCCAGCCTTCTCGCTGGCTGGGCATCAGAAGCTGAAAAATCCTTGACTTTAGACTAAACACTACTTAGCAACAACTGAAAACATCAGTGTTATCAACATTCTTTGCATACTGAACTCAAAACATAGCACTGTACCAGCTACTAGGAAGACAGTTAACTCTATCCCAGCTGAAACCAGGACACTCCATTTCCATGGTATTGGTTCACTGCTGCCACTGGAATATACTACAAAAATTGTGGATCCAGGCATATCATCCAACATTTTAAGAAATTTTAAAAAAGGTAAGAATGGTCACCTTTTGTCAACAGTGAATGACCTTATTTCTTTGTACCTCAGAAGTATGGTTTAAGAAACAGGTGAATCCTGACTGCATACATAAAATACTCAGCACATTCCAACATCACTGGTTCCCAGTATAGACATTACCATCAACAGAACCTCCCTACATACTAAGTGTTTTAAAGCCATTGGATCCGCATAACTATACTGGCTGTTCACAAAGAACCCTTAACAATGACTGTAAGTCCAGAAGATTAGAGATCATGGCTCCAAATCATAACCACTGCCTCCTCCCCCCACCTCTCCAAATAAATTATCAGGAAACAGCTCCAGTAAGCTGTAGTCTTACTTTAATCACTCATAAATAGTTCTCTAAAGCAAAAGTAAAGTTAGTACCTACTCCAGCAAACTCCCCATCGAGCATTTGACAAGGAACATAATGAAGATGGAAGAATGCTTCTTACAGGGTAATCAATACAAGTGTTGTTGGTGTAACACCAAAGGCACTGTGCAAAAGAAAAAACAAACAAACAAATTATTGATCTTCAAAAACAGTTTACGATTTATTGCTCCTCTCCACAGACAGAATCCTCAAGCCAGTAAAATACTGTATGGATATATGGAAAGTGTTTTGTAGTATAAAACCTACAGAAGTCCTGGTACAATTTCTAAGCCTAAACTGAATTGTGAATAAGTACATTTTGTACTTATAGATAATAAATATTTACATTACCCTGAAAAATTTGGGAACATATTGAGGTACTATGTATACTTGAGGATAAAATGGCTTTGTGTTTAGAATTACTGAAATTAACAAGTAATACAAAACCAGACAGCCAACTGTTCAGAATTTTAAAAACACCTGGTATCTTTAAGGAATACAAATACACTTATAATCTTACTTCACCCCTATATTTGACTATCAACAGAAAGAAAACAATAAAGAACTCTTACAATTCTTCAGGTTTTGCTGCAAGGTAAAAAAGATACAGCCTTATCCAATCCGTGTTGCAAAGTACACTGGGTACCTTAATTGTGCACAGTTACATATCTGGATATTTTTTAAATTTAAAATTTCTTACATGTATTATAGCTACAATACGAGCACAACATTTCTGCTTTTTATGCCACCACTAAGCATCAAGCTTAAGTTCTGTTTTTCAACTGTTAAAATAAATACTCATTCAAAATTCCTTTACCACACAACTCAACCAGTGAAGAAGTTTTAGATGACAGTAAAAGGAATCCTTGACAGAACAGGGTTTTTTTAGGATTCATTATACAAAGAGCTCATCCATGTACCATGCTTTATCTAACAGTACTATCAAGAACATCTCTGTCATACATCCTCAATTGCACAAACTCTGTTATCTTGCTCTAAAGGGTTAGAAAACGTTAAATACAAAGGAAACCGTTCGCAATAGATTCTGCTCTCTTGAAAAATAGTGAAGACAAGAAAAATGTATTCATATTTTGTAGTTGGTAGGCTGTACAAGTCAAACATACCCATAAAGACACATCAACAAAAATAATTACGAATGTGTATAAAACTTTGCAAAAAAAACTGCCCTCCTAAGTTTTAATTTTAATCAAGGATGTTAGATGAGAACATGCTTATTTTTGTTGGATTAATTACTTAATAAGAATTAACAGTTCAAAAATAATGAATAATAGAGGGCAGATTAAGAGTCATTGCTGAGCTTTGTCTGAATGTAACATTGACTCTGTTTTGAGTGGGAGGCTGGACTAGAGGACTCATGAGGTCTCTTCTAACCTGAATGACTCTATACTGTTGGTCACAACTAGGAGCACAGAATGGCCAGCTATATCACTCTGATGGAGACTACTGCATGTAACTTAAAAACATGTAGCCCAAAAGGCAATACCTGATACAGCTAGTGCCTGGTGCAGAGGCTAAAGTAAGAGAAAAATATTTCAATTGACTCATTCCCAATGCTAAAAATTGAGCTGTCAAAATCAAGTCAGAAAAAAGCCTAAACAACTGAGGGTGAAACATTTGCTTAACTTTGATCCTCAACTACACAACCTAAAAGTAAAGACAGAAAAGATTTTATTTTATTTAGGGGTAAATCATATATCCTTTGGAGAGTACGCTAGGAACCACATTCACCCTCTGACAGATATCACTGACTTCATTTTAGTAGAGTCTCACATGGATAATTAAGTGCAACATCATTACTTCAGTACACACTCATTTTAAGAACATATTCTTAGTATTAGAAGAGATAAGATAGTTACTATGAACACAAAATGAATGCTTCTTCCTCTATAATCAAATAGATGTATGCAAGGTACTATTATCTCCACCTTTCCTTCAAAAAAAATTGGCTATATTTATTGATCATATAATTTCCTATAACTGTTGTTAGTTCCTTTTTTTTTTTTTAAGGCCTAGCTTGCCTAACATCCATTTTCCACAAGAATTTAGATTCCATACATTTGTTATTAGGACAAAAATGAGAATGACAAAAATAAATAGCTGAGGGGAAAAGTGTATTGGTAGACTACTCAGAAGTTAAAAATGAGACTTTGGAAAATTCTCCAGAACACTGAGGCTCTACACATGCACACAGATTTTAAAATGCAGTCCTATCTTTAACTAGTGCTTGCGTTACATATTTTGTCTTACACACTGTCATATGGAGTTAGAAACATGAAAACAAAACTCTCAAGATGTTAATCAATAGATATTTACACATTATCTGTTAACAGATAAATTTCTCCAAATTTAATACACCTGGTAATCTACTAGTCATAGCAGTAGATATTCTATGAAATAAATAAATATGAGTTTCAAGATTGAACAGCTCTAATCAAAACCCTTATGTGTATTTAACGTACCACTTTTAAGGAATAAGATTAAATGCAACAGCATATCTATAAAATTACCACTCAGAACTTACTGATAAAAAACACAAGAAAATAGGTATTCATCAACTCTAAAGATCAACCCAAAAGATGTACCCAATTATAATTATGATAAAATCTGAGCATTTGGAATTATAATTCTATTTAACTGAATTAAATTACTACATTTTAGGGTTTGTTTGGAATTGTTTATCTATTCACCAAATGTTTAATCTTGATTTTTATGTGCTGCTATCTATATTATCACCAATATGAAAACCTGATATTTTTTTTCTACTGAAGCAATTAATTTCAGCAATACCTTGCTTTTGTATTGCTCACACAAATGCTAATGGCTTTGTTCTGCAGCCTTTCTTTTCTTTTTTTAATGTATGCGCGAATTGTCTGCATCAAGTCTAAACTGCTTTCTTCAAGGTTAACACTGATGCTATTGAAGCAGTTGCCCTGAATCATCCATCATTCTGTCACCAAAACAGGCCTGGACACTGTCATTGGTTTGACAGATTTTGAAAATAATGTATCTATAACTCTGTTAGTGTCTTCAGTACACAAGCACAGCTAAAGGATTTATTTCTCTCACAAGGTGAACACATAGCTTTCTGGTGAATAAAAGTTGTATTCATGTATCTACAGCAGCAGCAGAGCTTACTTGAAGTGACAGTCACACCAGTGGTAGTGCTGAACATTAAAGATTAAGTGACCTATATTTTCCATTTCCTACTTCATACTTTTGAAGATGAAGAGCTCTTTACACAATGCCATGCTTATGACAACAAATACACAGGTCTGCACACAATAACCACATCAATATCAGGCAATTAATATTTTTCCATTAAAAAAGCCAAAAGATGCAAAAAACAAGCATAAAACAGGTAAGTTTAGCTCTTTCTCAATTTCCCCTACTGAAAAGGTTTTGCAGTAACTTATGTCACTTAAAGACTCCTGAAATATCTATTTTCTGTGACATCTGAAGTTAGAATTCAAGACAAACTCTCACTTTAAATCAAGGAGTTTCTTCTACTCTGCAGGCACAGACACCTTTTGCATACTTATCACAACTCTTACCGTGGAGCTAAACAGTTTTGAGCAAAGGACAGAGAAACAAATTCTACTGTGGTTCTTTTGTTGCCTTATTGCAATCTCACTAGAAATCTAAACACTTTGCTGCCAGAATGGAGATCTAGCCTGGCAGTCTTCAGCAGTTACAGTCTGATGTAGTCAGAGGAGAGGCAAACTTATCTGAACATCTACAAAGCATCGATCCAGTCTGCCTCAGTTAAATGCTTAGGGCATCTCCAGAGAAAGGCATTTCTAGTTTATTTACATTAATTTCCCAGTTCTATCCAGCATACAAGAAATGCAAGCCATTTTACCCAGGTAAGATTCAGTTTATCTAGCCCTTGTATAAGATGCAAACTTAACTGCTTGCAAAACAAGCACAGCAGCAATATCAACTCTCTCAGCTGGACTATGAAAGCACTGAGCACACGCTGAGACTGGAAGCCCGCATTCTACTCTGTCCATCCTCTCCAGACAAAGCAGAGAAATACCCTGAGCGACCAAATCACAGAGCAACCCTGGCAAAGTGAAAGCACACTGGCATTGAGTGTGACAGAGGGGAAGCAGCACATCAGTTGACTCGACCATTTAAATAAAACAGAGGCTTCCTCTTATTAAGGGTTGTTTGACTAGATTCACCATTAAAAACAAAACCCCCACCAAACAGCCAAACCAACTGCAACAATCTGACTTCATATTAAATGAAAAAAAACAACACACCACCAAATTCTCAGTCAAAAAGGATGTTAAAAATCTTACCAAAACATTTTTTAGACATTCTTCACAGGACCTCTGGGAAAACTCTGAACACGCTAGAAAAAAAAACCAACACAAAACAGACAGATGATGTATTTATTTTTACTCATTAATGTCAAGCATTTAATACAATATTTAGCCTTTTCTTTTTTCTACTTCTAGATAAAGCAATGATTTTGATTGAAGCAATGAAAGCTCATTATTCCCATTTCAGGAGAACTGCAGCAAACATACAAAACAGTTAAGCTTGACCTCTGACATAGGAAAACGATTTAAGCTTACCTGTAACTTCAATTTGCCTTCTCTAAGGACAACATCGGAGATATAACCCAAGAGCCTCCCTGTGTCTCTGCTGAAGTTCTAAGACATTTACACTTCAATTTAGAGAACATACCAAGTTTTCCATCTTTGGAAACCTAGCAAAGGCTGACCCCTGCCTAAGGTTGGTCCCCCTTCCATAGATATTAACCTTTTTCTGGGGAAAAGAAGTTTTTGAAAAATAAAGCTCTCCAAATAACATGATTTTAAATTACAATAAGAAAATATTTCCAAACGTAGGACACACAGTCATTTTGTAAGATGACAACAAGAAGTCTGACAGAAGTTTGAAAGTCCAAGTGATGCAGAAGGAAGTTAATTCATATTTTCTTTGGACTTTAAAAACATCTTCTATCCTAAAAAAAAGGAAAGTATTTACTGGTGTTCACATTCCCAGAAGATTCCAGCCAAAGGCTATGACTTTTTTTAGAAGTACTGCATGCTTATCATAAGACTGGTCTTTTTGATCCATAACATAGGCATAATTTGTCACCCACAGGACCACGTACACGCCATAGTCTTGACCTAGATGAACTACTTAACAGATGAGATGGAGTTTCCTCTCCTGGTCCGAACCTGGTTTTCCTTCCAGTAATTGAAATTCCTATGGCAGTTTTTAATACTATTTAACGAAACTAACTTCTGATTATTTCCACATATATCATATAAATATGAGGGTAAAAATATCTCCAAATCAGGAATCCAATTTTACTTTTAATGAATAACAGCATGTTAGTCATAAGCACTTACCCATCTGAGCTAAATTCTTGGCATGTTTCGGGATAACTACATATTTCAATGTTTTCTTTCTTTTCATAATTTAATATTATACCCTTCTGGTCCTAATTCTTAACACTAAATGCACTTTATGCAACAGTATATTTAGCTTTAATAAATCTGTTTAGAAAAAACACTTACTAGTTTATCTGGTACCAATTAATATTGGTACCGGTACCAATTAACTGAGAAACAGCCTAAGCATTAAGGGCCATATACCAATTCATGGAAAAAACCTGAAAAGATGACTCAGAAATAGTTCCCAGTTTAAACTAAAAAATTTTCAAGTGCACTTATTCCACACAGAGTACCACCATGCTCATTATAAAAATACTTCATTACGTTTTCAATTTAAGATTTAACACACCTAAACAAACCAGCTTTCTGAACATGAATTAGCAAGGTACTGTCAGAAGTGTGCAAGTACATGGAGGACTTCTAAAAACATGATTTAGGTTACATTTTCAGTAACTGAATCATCTACAGCAAAATGAAGAAATGTAATATTCTTGAGATTCTTATCAAAGGAAGTAATCTTACAAGCTTTTCATGCTGTTTATCTTCTTTAACTGCCTTTCTACTGACATATTATAGCTCAAACCTATATAGGCATATATAACCAAAAGACTGGGGCTTAAATTATTAAAAAAATTAGACTTCTATTATGTGTTTATTCTAAAGAAAAGCATAAAAGAGTCTTAATGAAAAATACATCATCACAACATACATCTCAAATCAAAACATCTTTATGTACTGCTGTTACAAAATGTAACATTACCAGGAGTTAAAAAAAATTTCCATTCTGCTTTATGTATTTCTCCGCGTCACATAACTTAGACATATAAATTTCCCACCAGTTAGTGTTCTCCACAGGAGCAGAGGATAAAACAAAACACCTCTCAAACTGAAAAAGAAGAAAAACGCAACAAACAACCTCTCCAATATGCCTTGCTAAAGCATTACATATACCAGCACATTAAACAAAAACAACTTTGAATTTGTTTTTATTCAGATAGATATCTAAGTTGACAGTCTCCCTCTAATATTTCAAGGGACTACTGTATTAACTTTATCAGGGGACAAAAAAAAAGTAAGCCATAGCACCACTACCAACAATAATTCACACTGTATTTTAAACAGTATTTATCTAGCATAACCATTCCTCCTATATTGGCATATAACATCAGCATTAATCACCTAACATGTAATAAAATGAGAAATCACTTTTACATATCAAGGCTGGTTTACCAAGCAGTGGAAGCATTACTTTGATAAGTGGTGTCATTTTTACCAAAATAGTTTGGGGTAACACCTTGTACAGAGTGAACTGTAACTATATGAAGATTATATTTTCACAAGGTAAGAAAAAGCTATCACTGTTCATGTGCTGTTTTTTTTACAACTACAATTCTGCCCACGCATACAGGAATTGTACTATGTTATACACAAATTATCTGCATGACCTTACTTTCAAGGAGACATACTCATGGACAAATGCACAGATACAGAACAAAGGCTTTCCTCCACAAAATACAGGTAAAACAGAATAGTGCTGACAATAAAACTCTGTTTTGTTTAAAAACAGCTTTCCCCCCTCCCCTTTCCAATAGGTATTTGTGCAGGAAGGCAGCATATGCGGATTTATTTACTTTTTTTTTTTTTAAAGTAAGTCAGGGCTCTACACCAGCATACATTAAGGACTGAGGGCTGCCATACAACCTTAAGATCAGTGACTTTTGGGGCCGGGGGGGGGGGGCTACTCTTCTAGGTACTTTGTCAAACAGGGAACAATACAACCTTTGCAGCCCTGCTTCGTACCAGTCCAACTCTGTTGAACACAGGTGCTGAACTTGTGGAATATTTAACAGGATGACATACAAGGTCCCGCAATCTGGCAGAACTATAATAAAACTACCTTCTCACTCTTCATGAGCGCATCACTTCAGTATCTGACGCATGCATCTGATAGTCAACAAGTCTACCTCCCTACTTTTTTCCCCCCAGCTAATTCGATTTAAGATTAAAACTATAATACTTGTCATATGACATAACAATCCACCTTTATTTTTCACTTTCATCTTATTTCTAATATTTACTCCCTAAAGGTCACCCACACCTTTCTGTATAATATCATGATCCTTCTCCATATCAACAACCAACTTTTGCACATGAGCAAATTCCTAACTGACATAACAGTAACAATATGTGAAAAGGTTCTTCCTAGGGAATCCATGAGCAACTCCACTACCAACTCAGCCCGGTTTTTGGCTCCAACCAAACCCTTTAGTTTCACTTACATTTCTTGAACTGCTAGAAAGACACTGATTAACTTGCAGTTATTAGCAGGTCTACCTTTTGTTCTTTTCTCCGAGAAACACCGACAGTTGCCTTTCTCTTCTGCCTCAAGTTAGTTGTCTCACAAAGCTGGATACTTGCTTTTCGAGTATGAACCCTTCCATAAAAGGAACGAAACACCTCAAAATGGACTCTAGAAACACGTGTGAACGCCCACCTGAGATACCCTAATTTAATGCAAACTAACCCGACGCGTACCCCTCTGGTCACATCCGCTAACGGCAGCCAAATTCGAGGACGAGCTTCACCAACTGCTTTCCAAAAGCAGCTATGAGATGAACAGAACAAACAGGACGGCAAGACCATCTCCGCCGGCTCCTCCTTCCGAGCCAAATTCCTCGCCGTCAGTCAGGACAGAGAAAACACAGGTGACTGCCGTCTCCTTGCAGCAAAACTCCGGACAACCCCACGGCCCCGCAGGCCGGCCAGCAGTACAAACCCTGGCGCCATCGCCCCTTCCTTCGGTGGGGAGCCCGGAGCCAGCCTCTCGGCAGCGGGCCGCCGGTCCCGTCCCGTCCCGCCCCAGCGGCGGCGGCGAGGGAGGGCAGCGAGGCGGAAGCCGGACGGGCGGCCGCCCTCCCGCCGCACGGAACCAGCCCGCGCCGAGGCAGGGGACGCGGACCCAGGCGAAGCCCCCAGCTCCGCCAACTCTCCAAAAGGCGCTCCCGGGCGGCGCTCGGCGCCCGCAGGCCTCGGGGCGAGCGGGGGCCTCTGCCCGTCCCTCCCGCCGTGCCCCCCGCAGCCCTGCCCAGGGCCGAGCGCGGCCCTCCGCGAAAGTCCCGGAAAGGCCGCGCAGCCCGCACCCACGGGCGA